TTTTTGTTTAATAAAATATAAATAAATTTAAATAAGTTTAAAATTAACTTTAAATTTGGAAAGCAATGAATATTATCAATGCATTTGTTGATTGTGTTAATGATCTCATCGGTAACCAAATCCACACAATATAGCGATGGTTTCCGGAAGTGTTCTGAGAAGATATCAAATATTAAATTCAAAATAAAAGTAAAAATTTAATAATAAAAGAAAATTAAAACAATAATTTGAATACCGATTTGCATCACAACACATGAAGTAAAGGCAGCGTCGGGTACGAAGACTCCCAAACGTGTGCCGAAAGCGTTTTGAATGGCGGTCACGATCTCACCGTTCAAACGACTTTCATCGCAAAACATTTGATCCACTTCTGTGGCAAACGTGTCGTTCATCAGTAGATTAATCTTTGATCCGCCGCTCAATTGCTTGACATTCACTTCCCATACCTTTCCTCCCATTGAACTCTTAAACAGCTCCAGAAAATGGCTGCTCTTATCAGACAAAAGCCCTTCTTTATCGTCATCTTTCAGTGGAAACTCAATTTTCTCTAATCTATCGTTAGTTTCACGTAATTTCAACTGTAGTTTGGACTTCAAAGGCGGTAACTTTCGGGAGATATGGTTTGACAGTTCCTGTTGTAGATATTCCTGAAGGTATTTAATACCCAATCGTTTGGCCATTTCTGGCCCATAAGCCGGATGTTCGGCGAAGAACTTGCTTTCGTCGGCCAACGCTTTCTTAATGTCTTTCTTCTCGTCGATGTCTTTTTGGGATCGATTAACGACACCAATGAAATCGCGATGGCCATTTCTGGCCCATAAGCCGGATGTTCGGCGAAGAACTTGCTTTCGTCGGCCAACGCTTTCTTAATGTCTTTCTTCTCGTCGATGTCTTTTTGGGATCGATTAACGACACCAATGAAATCGCGTTTAAATTGCAGTTTATGTTTTCCATTGAGTATATCCCTGGCATTAGTACCAGGGTTCATTATGTCCAATTGTGTCAACACAGCGATGGTTCGATCACCTTTGGGATCAACTCGTTTCGCAAGTTTGAGAGCATCAGATGTGGCCAAATCTCAATTGTTAACAAATTATTTTTAAAAATTAGCATTTTATAATAAACCGGTATTAGTAATACACTATTACCTTGGTTGGCTGCAGTTACAGCGAGTATCAGACAGTTATCTTTTTTAATATAATTTAAAATCATATTTTCAATCAATTTCTCGATATCGTTGGGCTGATCCCCAACAGCCACTCTTGTCATTCCCGGCAGATCTACGAGAGTTAGATCCAACACATCCGGTGAATAGATCTTCAGATTGATTGGTTTTGATGAGACTCCTGTGCTTTCCTTAACCTCTCTTTTGGTTTCAGCTGTGATTTCATCGCGGATTTCATGGAAATTGTAAAACCGTTTTCCCGGCGAATGAAGAAATTCTCCGAACGCTTAGATATAATAAACAATTAATTTCTAAAAACTACTTTTATTTATAGTTTTAATAAATATTAAACGTAAATATTATCTTACGTTTTGTGTTATTTTTATCGGATATCAATTGCAGAACGAGTGGTCTTCGGGTGACAATACCCGACCCGCGGGGCAGGAAATCGCGGCCAACGATACTCTCCAAAACACTAGACTTTCCCGAAGACTGACCGCCGATAACAACGATTTGTGGCAAATCTAAAACAACATTCTCTCTGAGTTTGTCTTGAAGTTCATTCACTACTTGTATGAGATTAGCGGCAAATCCAGTCATTTTAAAAATTATTGTAATTAACTTAATATTTATTGAAAATTAGAAAAATTATTTTTGATAAATTATGACTTCACACCTCTTATATTATGTATAGACTTTTATAATAATTAAATTATGGTAACATTTATTGTCATAATCTCATTACTTGGTCTGCATTTCATGATATCGGTTACATACTGTATATCTGTAAATATAATAGCTCGATTTGTTTGATTTTATACTTTTATATAATTGTTTAGTTAATTATTAAATTACATAATGTCGAATTACTTATCACATTCTTATATTTCACACCATTTAACATAATAAATTCGATAAATACTATAAAATTCATATATTCATTAAATACAGATTTAAATTTTTAAATATTGTTTTTAGATAATTGATAAAAACATACTTGAAATACATAATGTTTATAGCTAAATATCCAATGACCAGGATGTAAATATTTTTTATGCAATTGTATTTGTCTACCAAATTATTTAACTAAATTAGGGTTGATAAAATGTCTCGCTTTATTTTAATTTACAGGGAAATTTCCTATAAATCTTCCCCTTTATTATAGTCTATGGAAAATTTCTTTTGAATGAAGAGAAAGTTTTACACGTAAATGTCTAAAAATTACATTATAGTGTATTGTAGACTACAATTTGTATGTCTTATTATAAAATAAATTATTCATCTCAAATAACTGTGCAATACTTGCACATTGTTTGTAAACAATATGCTTAGAACTTAATTGTTAAAGTTTTTAGTCTATGTTTATTATAACACATAATATGTTATTGCAATTTATTATTTCATATCCTGTACAACGAGAATAACTTTCAAGAATTTCATAGAATTGTTTAAAATCATTTATGGCTCTTATCAAGTTGTTTTAAATTTTAGCAATATATTTTTATTTAAGAAAGACACGTTAACTTATCAATATTTAAATATAATTGATGCTGATAAATATAATTATTTGTATATAATCTAATTAATGTAAAAATAATTATTTATTATAAAAAATAAATATAGTGCACATTTAATTCCTAATTGTAAAAATGCTGTAGTATATATTTTTATTTAATTTTTTATATAATTAACAATAACATTAAATATAATAGTAATTAAAAATGCATAATGATTATAGTATGAAAATTAGATAATTGGGTTAATAGTATATTTTATAACATATTCACAAATATTAATTTTAAAATGTTAATTATTATAATTTTTATAAACAACGTTTTTTCATATTTCATATTAAAAACTCGAATTTTTATTATTATAATTATAAAGATATTTTATGTGTAATTAAAGAAATATAAGTCACAAGAATATAATAAATAATTATACAATAATTAGGAATTTGTGAATTACATGATAAGTAAATTATAACACTATTGAATCGATAGTCATTGATGTAAATTGTTTACTTTTTTAAGAAATGTAGTTTTATATAAAATTTTAATTATAAATTTCAATTTTATTGTATTAACATTTAAATTATTAAATACAAAACAAGCTTAATTTATAAATTATAATTAACTTAAAAACAGACTTAATATGAAAATTATACAAAAATCTGATATAATAAGCAATTCATTGGATTTATCGCAACTATTGTCCCCGGAATTAAGAATCGCCGGAATTGATGGCCATCTCTACAGAATTGGACTCACATTATATGAGTGCGAATCCGTTAAGAGACGCAAATTTTTACATCCATTGCTTATATTTATATACTTAACTGTGTGTTCAATAAGATGTTTATTAGTGATAAGTTTACCACTAAATCTGGATCTTATATATGTATGTCTCGGAGATATCGGAAACCTATTAGGATTTCGTATACCATTTAACGCGTTGGCATCAATCGGCACTCCTATCCCATTATATTTATTACTAATTCATTATTATAATTACAAAACGCATATAAAACCCACTGATATGAAGGTGTTTGAGATGATGGCCGGAAAGATTGCGCCGAAAGATCTCAAACTAACTGATCAGCGATTAGTTTATAAATTGCTTAAAATGAGTGAATTTTATTTATTTGTGGCAAGAAATATGACACTTTCTATACCTGTTTTCACATTTGTTACATTCTTTTCCATATTTTATACACACCTACCACTGAATCTCTCCCTAACCATTGGGCTCTTGCACTCAATTATATGGACAATCAACGCGTACTATGTCTACAATATAATTACTTACCAACTCTTGTATTACTATTTAATAACTTATTATTTAAGGTCTAAACTGCGAGAAGTGAACAATAAATTGAAGACAATAATTGAAATCATAAACAAAGGGAAAGTGTTTTCTATGAATTGGACGCGAATTATACGGAATATGAATTCAATACACGACGAGATCCGGGAATATAATGCAAATTATTGGTCAAAGTTTTTGCTGGTTATTTGGCTTATAATTAGCTCTTTTAACGCACTTTTAACATATCTATCTATTTATTCAAAGTCTCATATGTTTATTAAGCTTTGTTTCTCTGGCTTTGCATTGTTTTCATTGTTAAGCATTTTGTTAATAATTCACATTTCGTCCGATGTTTATAATGAGGCCAATAATTCCTATCCATTGCTCAATACATTACTACAGACCGACAACAACATGAAGATTATCACCAGATTTAGAGTAGTTTTTTTTTTGTTAATGACTATAACATTAATATTGATGTATAACATGATAACCATGTGTTTTAATCTAATTGTATAGATCTTAGCGCTTGTCGAAAGGGTTGGTCAGCAAAAGGTCGGCTTTTATTGTTGGAAATTATTTATAATAAACAAATTCAGGGGATTTGAGGTTTAAATATACTTTTACTGTAGATATCAAGATATTTTCACTATATTTTGACTGTATTTTAACTATATTTTTCTGGTACAGATATTATCAATGACGGTTGTTTTATTCCTCAAAAGTATTGAAACATTTTAGCAATTCACTTTAACATGATTTCATTTATTCAAATTCCTAACTAATTATAAATATCATTTCATTTAAAAATTATAAACTATAAATAAATAAGTTCCGTAATAAATCATATTTTCAATTATTGAAATACTTTATGTTTTACTAAAATCCTTTGAACACAAATATATTCATCAATTAAAGTTATTCTTCAAAAAATAATACTTTTAATTTTAACAATCAAAAGGCATATGCAATACAATAGGATGTGTAGGGAATTGTGATTGTCTGCAACACATCTTACGATAATATGGGAAAAGTATTACAGTATTACAGTGTACATAGCTTTAAGGTTGCGTTTTATATTATCTATTATATAGATAATAGATGTAGAATATTATATAATATTGAATCCCTATTTAGCCAAACAAACAAAACCATCCTTTGATGCCTCAGACATGCAATAAATCATAGCGTTTGGCGTCTGTCTGTCTGACCAGGAAATTATCAATTGATTAACATTTGCCGTATTCTGCGCTTAATGTCTATTTGATAAGCCTTTCGATGCGTTTATAAATGTATTTCAGTTTCATTATTACACCGAAAAAGTTGCCCAAAAATGACTGAATGAGTGCTAATGTTGTAGTAAATCAATACTTGAGCTCCAGTTTGTCATTGAAAGTATTTATTAACATCACAACTATATTTATACATATTTCTAAAAATATCATTTTCTTATAAAAGAAAAACAAGTTTTTAAATAATTAATTAATTCACTTGAAAACAATCTAATCAAAAACAATAAATCATTTACTAAAATAAACATTACTTTTCTTTGAATAGTGAATATATTTGATTCAATTCTTATACACATGTATTAATTGAATAAATAAAAATTATATTATATAATGAAGAAACAAATCGTGTTTTAAATAGATTTAAGTCATGAAAATCAAAAGCAATTTATGTGTGTTTGAAATGATTAAAACGATAAATGTGTGTAAATAAATATGTTTAAGTTATACAACTGATAACTATTGTCACACAATGTATTTCATACATAACTTATGTAACATTTGTTTTGTGCTAATTTCTTGTATAAAACATTGCATTTTCACGGCTTTATTTAATCCATAACTTCATAGTAAAGTCAATGAAATTAATTTTATTTCGTGAAACATATTATTCATGAGAAATATATAATTATTATTATGTTATAAAAATAATAAAATATTTTACGCATTATAAAACCGGTTTTACTTATTATTTAAAATTCAAATAATTTTTATAATTTAACTCTTTATAATGCATTAAAAACATTACTGTAAACGAGGGAAACACATATTGTATGGAAAAAATTATATTTTGTGCCAAGAATTTGCTTAATAATAAATAATAAATTAATTTGTGTAAAAACCAAGTTGGTTTTGAAATGGTTTTGCAAAATATATATTTCCTTCTTTAGGGCTAAAAACTATTGATTTCTCAATGAAAAGACAATCATTGCTATTAAAATCAATCATAACTAACATTATTATTACTATTGTTTTGTGATATTTATTTAATTTATTACACATTATATCTGGTAATGAATTGTCTGGTGATTTAAGTGTACCTAAAAATAAAGTGCATTTTTCAGTTTGGATTTCAAGTGTTTCAATGATATTAATATATAATACAATAAATCGCTATTTATTTGACACGAGAAATGATATGAAATAATATTTATACCGAAATATCGTTTCATTGTCTCATTTAAACGCCAACCGAAATGTTTGCCAACTATTTT